CAGGCCTGGGCTGGATTCTAACCGACCACCTTAGGTGTATGTGGCTGGCACCTTAGCCACTTGAGCCACAGGCGCCAAGCCTATTAGCCTTTATATTTCTCTTGTGAGTTGCCTATTTGTGTTCATAGCTTTTTCTTTTTTTTTTGAGACAGAGTCTCACTATGTCACCCTGAGTAGAGTGCTGTGGTGTCTCAGCTCACAGCAACCTCAAACTCTTGGGCTTAAGCAATTGTCTTGCCTCAGCCTCCTAGGTAGCTGGGACTGCAGGTGTCTGCCACAATGCCCAGCTATTTTTAAAGATGAAGTCTTGCTCTGGCTCAGGCAGGTCTGGAACTCATGAGCTCAGGCAGGCCACCCACCTGACCCTATCAAGTGCTAGGATTACAGGTGTGAGTCACCTCTCCCAGTGATAGCTTATTTTTTAAATCATTTATGTGTATGTGTATATGGATATTTTATCTTACCCCTTATCTGACTCTGTAGTCCTAAGGGAAGTACTTTTGACAATATGATAGAATGTTTGTCCAGATCTTTTTCTGTCTAGTCCAGAACTTAAAATTGGTATAGTCTGTTTTTGTTATTAGTGAAATCAAATGTACTTAGGTAGAAAGAACAGTATTGTGAACTTCCTTATACCCTTTACCCATATTAGTAATTATCAAAAGGGTTCACATCATTTTTGATGGCTATATATTTTGTCATATTCTGTCAAATTTTTAAAATTTAACTAATTCCTTATTGTTCAAAATTTAATTTTTTTTTTAATTGGGACAGAGATTCGTCTGTTGCCCAGGCTGGAGGGCAGTGGCACTCATTGCAGCCTCCAGCTCCTGAGCTGAAATGATTCTCCTATCTCAGCCTCCTGAGTAACTTGGACTGCAGGCGAGTGCTACCATGCTGGGCTCATTGTTTTTTTCATTTTTTTGTAGAGATGGGATGTTGCTATGTTTCTCAATCTGGTCTCAAACTCATTCCCGGTGATTCTCTTGCCTCAGCCTTCCAAAGTGCTGGCATGAGCTACTGTGCATGGCCAATTTTTTTTCAGATTAATATGAGGGTACAAACGATTAGGTTACAATGTTTGCATTTGTTAGTAGTAGTGTTCCACTATTGTAGTTGTGTTTAGTACCCATGAGGTATACCATGTACCCTTACATTGTGTCCATTAGGTGGGAGCAAACCAATTCTCCTTGCATGGCCAATTTAAAAAAAAGTTTTAAATCATCTATATCACTGTGATAAATCAATACATAGTTATATAGCCGTAAGTTTAGAATAAATTCCAAGCATTGACATTATTAAGGAAAATGTATTTTGTTTTCTATTTAAATTAAAATTTTCTTTGAAATACATCCACATGGTTCTTATTTCCAGTTTTTAATTCACAATGTGTATTGTAAAGAAATTCCCATCCATCCTTTCCCCTAATCAAGTCTCCCAACCTGGGCATGTTTATTGGATTTATATTTATTTATTTATTTTGGCTGGGGCTGGGTTTGAACCTGCCACCTCCAGCATATGGGATCAGCAGCTTACCTTTTTGAGCCACAGGTGTCGTCCATTGGATTTATATTTAATACATATATATGGATGTTATTTTTAAAGGTTTGTCTATACATGCACCTAATTGTAATTTAAGAGTATAAAATGTACATGCCCTCAACAGCATATGGGAATGTTTGTATACCTGTCCGACAATGGGCATTAGTACGTGTACAGTATGAAGGCAATTTTTTGGCCAGATGTGGTGGCTCACTCTGGGAGGCCAAGGTGGGTGGATTGCTTGGTTGA